ACTCTGAAAACAGTAAGCGGTTGGGGCAGGTCAGCAAATTTAACGGTCCAATCATCGCTCCTGATGTCGGGGCCATTTTGGATAGCGAGGCGCCAGGCGAGGGGAAGGGTTTCAATCAGCATAAGCCTTCTATCCTCCACCAGTTTGGCATGCTTAAGCTTGCTTCGCAGTTGGTCGGTTGTCGCCCAATCATTTGTTCGCGGGTCCCACAAGTCCCCCACTGTATATATCCCCCTTCCGGCCCAAGAGAGCCATGGAGAATTGTTTTTGAGGCTAAAGGGGTTGCCATTTTCGTCCAGGATGCGGGGATTTCCAAACAAGGGCTGTCTCCAGATATCATGCCATCTGTTTGGTGGCTGTTTCTGATCCGGCCGACGCCTTCTCCACAACTTGAGTATATATGGTCACAGGGGGTCCAGGGGAATATCTGTTCTTACCGCATGCCTTGGGCCGGTCCCCCGCTGTTGTTGCGAGGAGGAGGGTAAGGGCCAGTCAGCGTTGGTGAGCCATTGGAAGGGGTGGACGGAGTGGTCTGCAAGTGCTTCGGGCGCGAGGAGTGTGATCTGGAGGCAGGCTAATCGGGCCCAGGGAACATCATTTCCTATCAATAGTCTGACCAGGACTTTGAAGATCAGCGCTTCACACTCCCTCTCCGGGTCCAAGATTCTCAACCCCCCCATGGATCTTGGTTGTGTAATCACCTCCCAACTCACCCTTGATATGCAACCCTCAGTTCTGACACTGTTTTTCCAGAGGTATTTAGTTAGTGTTTTTTTGAGTCTGGCAAATTGCTGTCTCTTTAGTGGCCAAACTGCTAATTTGTACCAAAGTGCCGCCAATATTGCGTTATTTATTGCCAGCGCCCTGCCCACGAGCGAGGTATGCAGCCCCTCCCATCGAGCCAAACGGTCTATTGCGAGGTCAACAAGCGCATCGCCATGGTCGTGAGGGGGACCCAATGCTGCCAACCTCACCCCCAATATTTTGATGGCATCCTCTTTATGTGCCCAAGCCACCGCAAGTTGTTGCAGTGGGGGTTCTCCTTGCGGGTGGAGCCACCAGCCTTCCGTTTTTGCCCCCCAGTTGACTTTCATGTATGCCGCCAACGAGAAAAGGTGTATAACCTCAGAAAGTGCGCGAACACTTTCCTCATTTGCTTTGATGAGGACAGTGAGATCGTCGGCGAACAGTGACGTCACGGGTATGAGGCACTGCGGGATTTCCAGGATAGGCACTCTACTAATGCCAGGGTGGGCTCTGATAGCGGAGGCGAGCGCTTCCATCACTATGATAAATAACAAGGGCGCGATTGGGTCACCCTGGCGCACCGATCTTTGGAGGTGGATTGAAGGTGACAGGTGACCATTTAGCATGACATTCGTGGTGGCTGTCTTATGGAAGATTTGGACCCAGTGACAAAAGGCAGGCCCAAAATTCATCTTCTGTAAGCACATGTCCAAAAAGTCCCAGTCGACATGGTCGTAAGCTTTCTCAAAATCGATGAATATGATTGCCGCTTGGGCTTTCCGTTGGCGCGCGTACTTGATAGTCTCATTAACAAGCAGAATATTGTCTTGAATATTACGATTGGGCATGAAGCTCGATTGGTCGGGGTGGATGAGCATATTCATATGGGGCAGGAGCCTCTTGGTCAGCGCCTTCACGACCATCTTGTACGGGACCGGAAGGAGGGTTATAGGTCTATAATTTTCGATGTCCTCTTTGTCGCCCTTTTTATATAGCAGTGTGGTGACTCCTTGACGCATCATGCCCCCAAAGGTACCCTCCTTCTGGATCGCCAAGATATACTCCATCAGGTCGTCCTTAAGAAGATCCCAAAATTGAGTTCAGAACTCTTTTGGGAATGAGTCAATACCCGGGGTCTTTTCATCCTCCATGTCCTTCAGCGCCTCCAAGATCTCTTGTTGAGTCAGAGGAGCGTCAAGGTCTGACTTTTGAGAGTCCTTGAGGCGAGAGCAGACTGCATCCAGCAGTTGTGCCCTTGCCTGACGGACGCTGTCCACGGGCTTGTTCGGCGTTTGGGAGGTGAAGAGGTTCCGCTAGTATTGGGCTGCATAGTCTGTTATGGAGTAGGCGTTGGTAGCTGGTTGTGCCGCGGCATCCAGGGGGTGTTTGAGCACAGGAACTGTGTTGGCTCTCGCCCTAGCTCTTGCTTTGTTGTTGAAGGACTTGGCCATTGTGCCATCTGTGTGGGCACGTTTTATCCTAGCCAGTATTCTCCAAGTCTGCGTCTGCTGCTCTATGTAGGCTTGGAGGTGGTCTCTGGCTTCCTGCAGTTTGTCATATGTGGCAGAATCTTGTGGATCGTGCATGAGTTGGTCGTCCCAATCTTCTAGGTCCTTCATCAATTTTTCAAGGAGAGCTTTACGGTCTCTGGCGTGTTGTATGGAGAGCTACTTGACTCTTTCTCTCAGCTGCGCCACACCGTCATTGAACCATTTGACAACATCCTCTGATACCGGCTTGCGGGTTTGCCAATATTCCCAGAACGAAGTTACGGTGTCCTTGGATTTGGCAAGGGGAAGCAGCGAGGTATTGTTTAAAGAAGCCCGGGCCCCTTTGGATATGACTGTGCCAAGATAGACCCAAAGTGATCATGCGATGGTCAAAGGACTTGCACGGGCTGATGGCGGTTATTTCTGCTGTCGTCACCAGGCCGACCAGGTCCTTCGATACTAACGTGAGGTCTATGCGAGAGTTGGTGATGCCTCTTTCACCTCTGGAGGACATACAGGTATAAGCGCGCTGAGAGGGATGCAGTTGTCTGTACATATCAACCAGCTCCCGGTCCGTCATGAATTCCCTGAGCATGAGTACATCCACGCCCACGCTGGTCTGCTGCAGATCCCCTTGGTCAGTAGTGTGGGAGGGGGACCTGCGATCCATAGCCGGGTCAAGGGCGGTATTAAAGTCACCCACTAGTATGTTTGGGGCGTCCACCGGCAGCCTGTCTTGAAGGGAGGCCCAGAGTTCTATCCTATCCACTGGATTATTCGGTGCATACACATTGGTGAGGTAGAACTCTTCTTGTTCAAAGGTTACCTTTAGACTGATCCACCTACCCTGCTGGACATCTCTATCCACCCCAACGAGAATCAGTTTGGAGGAGGGGGGGAGCCATATCGCCACCCCTGCCGACGCCCTGGCCGTAGCTGGAGCAGCATAGGAGACATAGGGCCATATGAATTTTCCTTTAGCATTATGCGTTGGTGTGTCCTGCAGGTGCGTTTCTTGCACACAAACTGCATCCGGCCATGACCCCGTCACTGCAGGTTTAATCATATTGAAAATCGCCTTTTTTTTATCCACCGACGTCTGGATTAGCCCATTGACATTGAGAGATCGAATGTCCAAGTCYGCCTGAGCCAATTTGGTCGTYCATAGGGGCGGCCTCTTGACTCTAGGGAAAACTTGGGGYGGCGGTGGGCATTGGGGGGGCGATGATCGGAGGGGTGGTGGGTGCGGTGGACAGGGAGCCCCATTCGGGGTCTGAGCACCATCGGGAGGCGGCATATTATTTGGTAGTGGCGGGTCCATCGTTCTATCACCACTTTACAGTTGCTGGGACTGATTTTCAGGGCAGCACCTTGACGGGAAGCACAAACGGCGGGTCATCCCACTGGTTGTGCTCCTCAAGAACGGCATCCTCCAAAAAGGTCTGCAGGAAAAACGTAACCCTGCTCGCTGTCCGGGCATAGTTAGTCACCAAGCGTGTAGCGGGCAGGTCCATTAGCTGATTGTGAGTGAACCACCTGAAGTCTGTGCCCGTTTTAGCAGCCCCAAATTTGTGGCTGAGCAGGAGCAGGGCTGGAATTATGCCCTTCGGGAATGTGTGGGACTGAGGGAGGACTACCCCCAACACATCAGAGATGTTAGCCTCCCTCACCCAGTATTTCAGACGCTTAAGGATCACAGCGTTCGACGGATTGCCTCTCCAGCCTTCAATGGTGAGGTTCATCGTTGAATGCGAGGCCTTTGGCTGGTGGGCGTGGCGGATGGTGTCCACAGGGGGGCCAAGGCACAACAGCCACTGACCACCCTCTTTTTCTCTTTTGATGGGAAAGATGGCCACCCCAGGGGACATCACGATCGGAGAGTTGTCGTCCTGTTGTAACCGCACCACGTCCCGCATCTTTCTCAGGGGACTGTCCAATTGCAGGTCATCTTCCGAGTGTGACCGGTCTTTGTGCTCATCATCATCATCATGAATGATCACAGGCCCTTGGTTGGAGGCCCCTGAGGGGCGAGGTTGGCATTCCAGCAGCGGCCTGTCTGTGACAGGCGTCACTGCTAGAGATGCAGGGAAGCAAGCCTGAGTTGCCGGAGGGGTCCCAGAAAGAGCGAATGTCGATGGTTGGCAGTCTGGGCGGTCGTGTTGTTTGTGGACTGTGTACAGCGTGGTGCACAGTTCATGCACCAATGTTTTGGGCCAGGCAAGACCCTCATGGAGGAACGCCTCGCCTGTATCGTGCACGAACTGTGCATTGCTGTCGTCCAATCTGCTGCCGAATGGGGCCTCGGCGTAGTTGTGAATTTTGTCAAGGAAGTCGTTGACAACCAAGACGATTGCCGCTCCCACCTCCATCCAGTCAATTGTCGAGATTGTCTGATATTTGTCCACTGTGGTCAGAACTCTAGGACTGTACATGAGGACCCGTTTCGCCTCCCCCCAATATCTGTTATCCAGTCTGTCCCCCGACTTGTCCCCGGACATAGAAAAATTTTTGGCGAGGGTCCAGTCTGTCAGGAAAGCAAGCTTTTGCTGGACCTCCTCATTAGCCGCAAGGGGCAGCGGGGGAGCTTCAGTGGGTGGTGTCGACCGAGGGGGAACCGGTTCCACCTCCATTTCCACTGGTAGAGCCTGCTGCTGAGTGGGCTGAGCCTCCGGTTCCACCTCCATCTCCACCGGTTGGACCTGTTGCTGAGCGGGCTGAGGCTCGTTAGAGTGGGGAGCCGAGGTGTCCATGTCCTGGGAGGTTAGAAGCTGCTGAATAGTCTGCGGCTCATTAGCGGGGGGGGCTGATGTGTCCATTTTCTGGGGAACCTGTCCGTCGTAGTACCAGTGTGGCAGGGCAACCGCCGGGCTATCCAGCCTGGCCTGCAGCTGCAACTGTTGTGCGTCCAGTTTTTGGTTTTCTGCCTCTTGCTGCCAAAAGACACGAAGCTGGAGTTGCTGCTACTGCAGTATTTGCTGCTGCTGACAGCAAAGCTGGTGTTGCCATTGCAAATGCAGGTGTTGAAGCAGCATTTGCTGCTGTACAAGCCTCTCCTGGAGCTGCTGATGTTGATACTGTGCTAGCTGTGCATGGAGCAGCTGGCGGAGTTGTTCGTCACAGTTATTGTGTTGGAGGAGGGGCTGTTGGTTCTGTTGCCGGCTCTGCATTTGCATTTCCATTTGCGCCTGCGGGAGGTTTTGGCCGTCTCCTTCCATTTGGTATTGCAGTTGTGCTCCCTGCTGTCCAGGTGCTTGCGTTTGTGAATACACCTGTGGTGCCAGCTGTGACAGCGTTAGGTCAGGCGTGGGGGGTGGCTCTGCAGGTGGGCCTTCCGTTGGCATGCAAATGTGGGTGTCAACGGTGGGCAGCGACTGTTGACTCTCGGGAAGGTGCTCCTCAGACAACGACTATTGGTGCCTGGTGTTCAGCTGGTGGAAAGCCCCTGCGGCGGGCAGTGGGTCGTCCTCTTCGGGTGGACGGGGGCGACTGTAGTGTTCGGGGTTTTCCTGGGGAGTAATCAGCAGGAACTTACGTTCCCCGGTAAGTTCCGACACCACCTCCTTGAGTCGTGCGGAGTGAGGCCCATTCCCTTCCATGTCGGGTCCATGCCCCTGCACCGGGGAGAGCACTCTTCCTTGATCCCCCTCCTCAGACCGGGGCTGCAGAGAAGTATCCGCCTGGCTCTGTGTCTGCATCTGTGGTTGCGGTTGCATTTGCAGCAGGGAGTGAGATGGCAACTGTGATAGCCTGAGACTAATTGCAACCGGTTCCACCGTGGACGGTTTCACCGTGGCCGGGCCCTCATCGTTGGAGAAGGAGGATTAGGGCACCGAAGGATGCATGCCCATGTGGCCGTCGGCGGGCAGCGTTGGTTGTGGCTCAGAAGAACTCGCCGCAGAATAGTCGTTCGTCAGTGGACCGTGAGTCCCAGTTGGCAGGTCCTCCGACAGCGAGGGGGAGACAGCCGGGAGTCTCAACTTGTCTTTTGAGGTGGCCCTAGGTTGGGCGAATGCTGCCCCTGTAAACTTAGCGAGGAGGGAGTTCGCCTTAAGCCACATTTGGTGGGGGTTGAGGATTTTGTGGGCACTGGCCGGTTGATTGGCTAGCTGAAGGGGAGAACCTGTGTGGGAGGGAGGGGCGGTACCAAGTTTGTTAGCCTGTGTCAAGTTTAACTCCTCCATCTCCCTTGTACAGGCGGTCCCAAGCCGAGATGGGCCCGGAGGAGACGGCAAGGCCACTGCGCCCTTATCTCCGTCCGAGAAGGGAGGGGCGGAACCAGGTTTATTAGACTATGAGGGCTTTAACCCCCCCATATCCTTCGTACCGGTGGTCACAAGCAGGGGCGGGCCCAGGACTGGCGGCCGAGTCTCTGCGCCCTCTGCGCCCTTTTCTCCTGGTGGGTCCTGCTGTGCCACTCAAGCCTGCCCCCGCAGTGGAAAAGCTATAGCATCAGACTTCACAGAGTGATCACTCTGCACTCCGGACCCCAAAGGCTGATACCACTGGGGGGGGGGGAGCACTGCTCCCTACAGGTTGTCGCTGGTGTTGCGGGGGTGCTGTAGCTTGTGTAGTTTGCGGTATTGCAGGTTGGTGTACCTCCATCTCTTGCTGGTCTGAGGACCCTGTGTTGACCCCCTCATCAGATCGGCCTTGTCGGTGCTCCGTCCAGCCCTGTTCGGGCACAGCCCCCTTTTTTGACTTGGGTTTATAGACCGGGGGGGGGGGGGTAGTCCCTTTCCCTTCAGGGGCGGGTGTGTTGCACGGGGCACAGGCCGAGATTTGACTGAGGGCTCCAGTGGCTTGTTAGCATCTGCAGCGTTTTGGGCAAGGCTCGACTTATTGGGTTCCCCCCCGACGATGTCCCCTCTGCGGGCATAACTCTTCTCTGCTTTTCCAGGGTCCTTGGACCTCCGGGATGCTGTCTGATTAGCAGCGGGGTCCAGGTCGTCGGCTATGTCAATTCTGGCTCCGGCGGGGAAGGCCGACGGCTGTCCCTCGCCACGCCAGATCCACTTCCCTGGCGTCCCATCAGCAAACGCCCTAAAGAGCCAGCCTTGCAACACCTTTTCCTTCGGATACCATTTCTCTTCGCCGTCCGGATCCGGGACGACAAGCCCCTTGATTCCCTTCTTTTTGTTATTCTTAGTCGAAGGACAATCATCGTCTGAGCTAAGGTGACCCCTGGCCTTGCATGCATAACACCAGGGGTCTTGTGTGTGACTGACGGGGACCGAGAATTCTCTTCCCCCCAGAGAGTATCTCCATTCTTCATTGGGGGGGAAGGGATAGGCATCGTCCCAGTCTACCGCCACGAGCAGGGAATCGTCCCGTTTTTCCAAGAACTACGACAGGTCTGTTATGAAACCTTTGACCCGGGTTATATTTTCGAGGTCGGTAAGAATCGCCCCTTGCACGCACAGCGGGACAAATCGAAATTTGACCCAGAAATTAGTTCTCATTAGGTGCTCTCTCCGCTCATCAGCGGATAGCGGGTCAGTGGGGGACCAGGGGGACACCCTTACTGGAGAGCCCCTGAATTGGAGAGAACCGTTTCTGAGTAGCAGTTGTCTATCTGTCGAATAGAGGGCAACCACAGTGATGTATTCAGGACTGTCCACTTCAACAAGGAAGTGGTCATGAACCAGTTGTCTGTCTGGTTTGATCATTGCCAATCTATCTGTGATCCATTTGACCCTTTCATTGATGACAATCCCCGGCTGCATGGACTGGAATCGGAAATGAACCGCTCTCTGCATATAGATCATATCCCTTGTAGCCCTGGCACCCGGCGGGAATATCGAGTGAGGGTAAATGTAACCATCCTTTACTTGAAATTTTCTTTCGGGTTCTACATACAATTGTTGAATGAAATGGCTTTTGAGCGGAGCGATGGAGTTCAGGGCGGCCGATCTGTTTGCATCCGAATGAGCGGGGGCAGATAGTGCACACAGGAGCTGGGGGGGCGACTTTTGACGAGCGGTTGAGGGCCCAGGGTCGACCGCCGATCGCAGTTCATCTCCCACCAGTCTGTCCCTCCATGTTTTGTTGGCTTCCCCCTGTGCCAGAGTTGCGTTATGATCCGCTTGCTTTGTAGGTGCAGGGGCGCCGGAGAGTTGAGAAACCTTTTCGCATTCCGGCTCCTTATTTTTGGACAGTGCACCTCTTCCCCCCAGTTGCAGGGCTCCCGCAGCGGATCTTCCACCCCGTCGTTCTGGGCCATTCGACATTCGTGGCATCCAGGTGGCTTCCTTCCCCCTCCCCTGTTGTGCCTTTGATGGGCAGGCACTAACGGGCTCCTTATTTTTGGTTAGTGCACCTCTCTCTCCCTGTTCCGGAGCTGCATCAGGGGATCTTCCACCTCGTCATTCTGGGCTGTTCGACATTCGAGGCGATCAGGTCGCCTCCGTCCCCCTTCCCTGTTGTGCGCTTATTGCGCTGGCACCGGCCCCGGATGCTAGTGATGGCTTTGGCACCGCCCAGCCTGAGGAGCAATGAAATTGTTGGCTGCCCTGGCTGCGACTTTAATGCACTCGTTATAGGTATCCTGTAAGTTTTACTAGCAACCTTCTCTCCTAAGTAGATGGGGATCTGTGTGCTCACACAGAAAAAGAAATTCGTGGTGGTACTTTCGATGACGTGTCTGTTTGACCAGGTGGGGCTCTGACCAATGTAAATAGAACAAAGATGAAGTTGGAGTTAAGGGATCATTAGATGCAGGCTTTCCGCTGCGATCCCATAACAGAATCACCAGGGATGCGGAATTGGCATCGACGGGGTCTTGGACAGATTGATCAGCATTTTGCCCTCTCCCCACCGTCGTTTTTAAGGGCGGAGATCCCTGCCACGATCGAGAGGGGAGCTTGTGGTAAGGGGACGAGGACGTGCGCGTGTGCACAAGAAGGAAGACGATCTGGCACAGGAAGCGACGAGAGTGAACACAATTGACCCGGTTCGAGCAGTGTCGAAGGTGCAGTGGAGGATCAACACAAGGGCGACAAGGGTCGACTAAGGGTAAAGGCGAAGGATCTGGGAGACGGGGGTTCGGGAGAGGGGCGGGCCGGGTGGAGCAAAGGAAGGGAAAGGTCACCAATCATCCCCGAGTCGATGGCGTGCCGCTCCCATTCGATGTATGCTGCGAGCTGCGAGTTTGTGCCACCCAGCCATCGGGCCCCCTAATCTTGTCCCCTTTTTTGCTGGCGAGGCTGTGCCACCGACGCCGCCACGTAGCGCCGTAAACAAATGGCCGGGCCCGCCGACCCTCACGCTGATGTGTCCTCGCCACGTTGCTCCTTCTTCGCCTCCCCTCCCCAGCTCTCCTCCTCCCGGTTTCGCTCACTGGGCCTTCTCGCGTATCACCCTTGTGGCCACGTGGCATCGTTAGTGGAACTTTCGAGTCTCGCCAGGCACTTACCAAAGCGCCGGGCAGTTGTCCTTTTCCTTCGGCAAGCGGTTGTACATCGGTTGTCGGTCGACCCACGTTACACGTGTCGCCAGGATCTTCTTTTCCCCTTGATATTCTCCCATCCACATGGATTTCGTCCCAACCGAGCTGAGTCTTCGCTCCGTGGCTTCCCCCGTCCCAGCGTATCCGACCCTCAGAGCCGCGAGGGTATCGGATCTGACCTATCTCGACGTTCTCGCCACCCCCCTGCCACGGATCCACGACCTGGCCCGAAACCTGCGTCGATGTGGCCAACTCACTCGCCCAGATACTCGGGCAGCCTTCAACCCGGCCGTGCACTTCTTTCCCAATCGTCACGGTCAGTAGTCGCAGCGATCACTCAATTTTCTCTAGTAAATTTACTTGTTTCTCGATGAGCCGACGTCAACAGTCGCCTCCCCCTCCTCGCTGATCCGTTTCCCACCTTCGCCTGCAAGTTGCTTTGCATCTGAACGAGTTTTCGTCACTCTCACCCCCATCTCCTTGCTGGCGTCTAAGCATCGATCACACTACACGTGAGCTGCTCACTCTGACTCGCTGGCCAGGGGGCATCGATGCACACTTCTCCAAGGCAGCCGCCGTGCTCGACGACCATGTCCAGGAGTTTGTGCGGGGCCAGGTGGGCGGGCCCTGCCGCCCACGGGCCACGTAGCGCTAGAGATTAGCGGAGAACCACACGGAGCCGGTTTGTGGCGGATGGCGTTCATCAATCGTTTTTACATATCTTCATATGGGACGCTGGGCCCGATTCCCAGCACGTGCTGCTCCCCACGAATAGATTGGAGCATGTCTTCAAAAAAAAAAAAAAAAAAAAAAAAAAAAAAGGG